AGCTAGACAGTATTGTGCTCAGTGAAATAAGCCAGGCAGAGAAAGAAAATACCAAATGATTTCACTCATATGTGGAGTATAAGAACAAAGAAAAAACTGAAGGAACAAAACAGCAGCAGAATCACAGAACCCAAGAATGGACTAACAGTTACCAAAGGGAAAGGGATTGGGGAGGATGGGTGGGAAGGGAGGGATAAGGGCGGGGAAAAAGAAAGGGGGCATTAACGATTAGCATGTATATATGTGTGTGTGGGGGCACGGGGAGGGCTGTGCAACACAGAGAAAACAAGCAGTGATTCCACAACATCTACTATGCTGATGGACAGTGACTGTAATGGGGTTTGTGGGGGGGACTTGGTGAAGGGGGGAGCCTAGTAAACATAATGTTCTTCATGTAATTGTAGATTAATGATACCAAAATTAAAAAAAAAAGAGTATGTTACCTAAGAAGAATTTTTTTAAATAACTGAAATTCTGTTTGAACAAGCTTTTGTCACTGTAGTCAAACTGTGTCAAATGAAAGCCTACAACTAATCTAGACATGGTAAGCAGGGCTGCTTTTCTGTTTTTATTTTTTACCTTTTTGTCCTCTGTCACTGTTTATTTACTAATGTAAGGCAAATGAATATTCACTGAACTGATCTTCAAACAATGAACAAATTGAGGTTTTTATATGGGTATGTGGGTGAAACATGTTATTTGGAAAAAAAGATTATTTTTAAGATTTTCATTATGAAAAATTTTAATATACAAAACTGTATTGTGAATACTCATATGCCCACCACCCATATCCAACAACTAACATTTTTTATTTCTTTACCTGTCTAGCCATCCATCTATCTATATGGTCCTCGCTGAACCATTTTAGAATAAAATTATGGACATGACACTTTACCCCTAAATATCTCAGCATAAAGACATCTTCCTATACAATTATAAAACTGTTATCTGACAAATAAATAATTCGCAAATATCCTATAAACTCTAGTTCATTTAAAATTTCTCCGATTATCCTCAAAGTTGTCTCTTATACCTACTTTGCTCAAACCAGAATCTAATTAAGGGCCATGCATTGCATCTAATTGAGTTTGTTTAGTCTCTCTTAATATAGAATAATCCCCCCACCTCTAACCTATTTCTTCCCAATTTTGACCTGAAAAGACCCTCCAATTGTTTCAAGAATACTGCTTATACCCTGTTTTTCTCTTTCCCTTCTATTTCCTGAAAACCATGTTAGATCTAAAAATTTGGTAAGAATTGAGTTAAACATTTTATAGGTGATGCTGTGTACCTGATGGTGTATTAAGGCCCTTTGTCCCATTACTAATGATGCTAAGGTTGAACACTGAGTTTCCTTTTTGCCCTAAGAAAGTAATCTGTGGGATACTTTGTCACCCATGTGAATATCGTTCCTTTCACTTAGGGCTTTTAGCAATCTTTGATTTTCCTTCTCAGCAATTATTTCATAATGGGTCACAAAGTGGTGATTGTTCTAATTCTGTCTTTCAAATGAGGATGTTGACTTTGAGAATGGCGGTGCTTGGGAGATTAAATATGCCATGACCATAGTTATAGCTTGGGTGAAACAAAGGCTTTTGAGGCTTTATAAATTACCAATGGTTCCTTAAATGTAGAAAGAGCTGGGGGTGGGTAGTGAAGGTCAGCCAGTTTTCTGAAAAGATCCCTTGCTGCTGGTACACTTGTGAAAAGACCTGTCCTGCAGCCTGAATTGCAGAGTAACCCAAGAGAGATATGTGAGTTTCAGAGGGACACAGAAACAGTGAATATTTATGTATCAGTTCAAATTCATAAGTTTACACTTAAAGCACTGTTAGAATTGTGAATATATATATTCTTCTCTTAGAAAAATAATCAGCTGTTGTTTGGATCCTAGGGAGTCTTTGCCATCCCTGAGGTAAAAAGTACCAGGTCCTTATAACCAACATCTTGATGAGGAAAAGGTCAGGAGTAAGAAAGAGATTCCTTTAAGATCTTGGCAGATACAAATACACACATTATGTCAAAGGATGATTTAAGTTTTAATCAGGTTTTGAGAATAATGGTGAAACATGAAGTCAGTGACCAACAAAATAGAGCTGTCATTATTTTTATATCACTGGTATATTTCTGCTCAGTTACTATGCTGGGCACGATTTGTGGTCAGTACACCATGTTATATCTGCAAGAAGAGACCCTTTATATAACAGCATTGTTTGGCAATGAGCTGCTAGGTATGTTTAAATTCTGAAACTGTAGCCTGAGCACCAGCTGGCCCAAAGCCTCCATTTACCTCACTCACCATCGTCTGTATGCCTGAGTGGTGTCCAGTTTTTTTGAATGTTTAAATGTCATGATTCCAGAGGATGGATGTGACCTAAATAAGCTGTTGGGACACACACATTTCTCCCCTTCCCCAGAAAAACGAACAAATCTCTAAGTTGGTGAACAGGAAGTCAAACAGTGAGCATTGCCATTTCTAAAAGATGAGCTGATGTGGTGAAAAAAAAATTCAGAACAGAATGACAGACAAGAAAGCCACCATCATACAACGTTGTTTCCCAATATTCTAGAGTACTTCTGACTCAGGGAGCTCTTTACAGATCCTTGAATTAGATAATTGACTCAAATACATCACACAAAGCCAATGACAGCATACCGGGCACATGCAAACCTAAATCAAGCCCAGCTGAATTCTGTGTACCCCTAATGAGTCTGTGAATTCATCCCTGGGTGTGAGAGTGACTGGCTGAGATCTGACATGCTCTCCATTTCCAAAACGGACATGGACGCATCCACAACTGCCCACCACTGCAAAGAGGGGGGCATCTCTGCTATTGTAAGAGTTACCCCAGTAACACTGGAACCACTCTCAACAATCACTGTGGATGAAGTACTTAAAACACCACTTAGCCTTCACTTCGGCCTCTGGAGGTGTGGTCATGGCTGTCAGCCCTGAGGCTGAAGCTAAACCTGAAGCACAGCTGCTGGGACCCTAAGCAGCAGGATGACCTGAGGAGACTCTGAACATTTCCACTGTAATGCATCTTGAGAAGAGTGAGGAGAATGACGGACTGCTGTGGTAGCACTGCTCCCCTCCTGTCACAGGGAGGTCCTGGTCATCTTTTCTGAGTCCACCATTAAACAGTACTGCTCCCTGCGCTATTCTAGAGTCAGGGGATTAGAGCCTCAGACAATGTCACTCTTGGGGACCGAGTGAAAAGCACATTAGCCCCCAGTTTTAAGGAACAAAGCAACTCCTTTTTTTAGCCAAGGCAGGTCACGTCCTGCAGCTGCCACTGTCACGTCCCTTTGCCAAGGACCCTGGAAGTGATGGTGGGAGGAAGGAATATGAAGCCATTCCTTAAAGTCTGAGATTGCAAATTAGCTCCACAAAGAAGAGAGAATGCTACGTCTCAGTGCAGAAGAGGAGGGGGGAGGGACAGCATGAGAACGGCGGGACCTGCAGCACTGGGAAGCTCTGGGCAGAGCAGGCACTGCAGGGGCTCCTGGGGGGGCTCTAAACATCCATCTGCGCTACTGTCATTTTATCCTCAACTTGGGACACCGTAAAATGACAGCAGTTGTGAACAAATCAGTGTCTCCTCTGTACCTCTTCCTCCCAGGGCCCTTCAATCTCTTCTCCCAAAATTCCCATTACTTTCTCTCCTTTTTTCACTGTACCAGCCCATTTCCCCCACCAAATTCTGAATGTCACATGATTTATAAAAACTCTCAAAATGCAGAGATAACAAGCAGTAGCATAATTTACCACCTTCTAAGATTTAATCAATGGTACCCTTTTTAGTCAAAAGGAAAAACTCTCTCTAATTTATGTCATAACCAATTTTATATCCATGAGATGAGGATATGGTCAACTTACCCAAGGGATTGGCACCAATAAATACATTTGCAAAGTTCATCTTCGGCATCTGGGTCAAAGACTGAATGTAGTTTCTTGCCTGTAAAAACATAGGGTTTTCAAAATGGTCTCGTTCAATAATTTTACTGCTCTAAAAGAGGAGTCTTGCTTCTGTCAAGGAATAAGTGTTAACTGACAAAGTCTGCCAGCTCCAGTGCTGATGACTTATCTCTGACATTCATTAAACACTTCTCCCTTACCACCATCCTAATTCCCTTATGTACAGTCACCCCCTTATTAACTCCGCGATCTCTCACAGGTATATTTCAAGTGGACAAGAATGCTTTCATTAAGCTTTGTGATCACAGGATCAGAAGTTTCAAAAATGAGGCCAAGATATCTAATAAGTAGCCTTTGTGAGAAAGCCTTCCTAAAAAGCTGAAACTGGCACAGGGATTGGGATTTCTGAGGACAGTCTAGGGCCAGCAGACTTTCGATTGTGCTGCTCTCAGTACATCCAAAGGATACCAGTGTTAAATCTGGCTAACAAAGTAATCTTGGTAACAAGAATGTAAGCATACGCTTAGTGTATTATTCTAGGAAGCTCAAACACATTTAAAAATATTAAACCAACTTAATAAGAGTAATAAAGAATAGTGGGTTGGTTAACATGATCTAGGCAGAAATCTTTCCCCTACAGCTTAGAAGCCACAGCTTCTTGGGCAAGTCTCAACTAACATATCAATTTCTGCATCGGCAAAATGTTAGTATTAATATTAGTCATGAGTGTTTGCCTTGCCTATATCATATGGTTATTGTAATGCTCAAGTGAGACGAAACCCACGAAAGAGCTTCAAACTGAAATTCTGATACAAGCAGCGCTTATACTACTAATGTAATTGTAAGTTTGGTCCCTGGGTTGGGACAGGCTTGAGTTTGAATCTTGACTTTATCCCTTTGGGCAAGTTGTTTATTCTCTTTAAGTCTTGAATTCCTTATCTATAAAACAGAATTAAAAACAGTGCCTACCTCAGAGTGCTGGAGTAAGGATTAGAAAAAACAAACCAGTACTTTGAAAGCACAGTGCATGGTTCAGAGCAACCGCTCAGCCAACAGCTGCTATCACTGCTGCCTTTGGAAAGGAAAGTCTGCTCTCATTGCCTAAGGATGTTCAGCTTCGCAATTTCTGAATTTCATTCTAAAGAACTTAAAAGTGCCAAGTGCTTTCAAAGACTGATAGCTCTGATCAAGGCAAAAACCAAAACTAGTCTTGAGAATAATCATATAAATACAAATGTAACTCATAAACGTATGCTTCAGATATTAGGTATTCAACTATGTCTATGACTTTCCCTGTTGCAAAGAATTAAACCCCACTATCAATTCGAATAGCTGATGTAAAACTTCTTTGAATCTATCGTAATCACCTCCTTAAAATTCCTGAATTAGAAGACGCTCAATAGTAAAGGTATGTATGTCTACAAACGTACACAAGATCAGAAAAGAGGGAGAGGTTCACTTTGAAAAGCAGTTGAGCATCTTCCCAATTTGAAAAGAAAGTTCTAGGAATTGAATATCTACATGGCTGTAATCCCTTCCTAATTAGCAGGTAGATAAAAAGATAAAGGGAAAACAGAGGCAAGAGTGACCTGTCTCATGCAGAGAACAGTCATCCCTCTAATAAGATAAAGATAAATAAAAAGACTACCTGAATATAGAAGTAGAAACAAAACTGCTGGGAAGGGCCTCTGTCATGCCGACCTGGTACCAGAAACACTGAGGGCGCCTTAGAAAGATATGCCTCAATCATCTAAAACTAGAGTTAGATGAATTAGTTAAGAATTGGTAAAGAAGGCACCTAACCCTACTTAAGTGTTCATATTTATTCTGTATTATTTATGGATTTTCCTTTAAATATTGTACTTATTAGTGTTGGATTTTATTTTATTTTAATGAAGAATCCTCTTTGGTCATTAAAAAAAAATTGATGAATAGGAAGGCATGCTAATGGCCTTCTGTTAACTACATCGCCAGTGGAAAGTCATCAGATGGGCAGCATACCCTAACTGCAGGCAAGAACCTAGGAAAACACATGCAGGCTCTTGAGCACTGAATTTGTAAAACCCAAATATAAAAGTAACATCATTTTCTATACACAAGCCTATGAGCTATATTCTCAGTCCACAGGACTAGATGACATTTCACTCCAAACGTCAACATCTCATGATAGCACATAGGCAGTCCTTGCCTTAGTAGCCCTCAAGGCACATGCAAGCATTCAGTGACATTAAAAGTTGTGTTGGTTATACAGTGGCAATAAAATGAGAATGTGGCCTTCTGAATTAGATATCCCTGTACAGTCTATTTGTTCTCACCTCATGGCTTGGCATCCTGTTAATGAGATAAGCAGGGGGGGTCCCCGTCAGACGCATAATCTGCTGAAGCTGGTTAATATCTTAGATGCCTAGTCAAGGGCATTGTTAAACATACAGTGCAAAAAATAACTTAAATTCAAGTTTTAAAACAGGCCCAAACAAACAAAAAACCTACTGCCCACCCATCCCACCCACCTCAGGCCACAAAGGCTGCAGTTAAAGCATGCTTCTGTGAATGGCATGGGAGTTTTTAAGCATGGAGCCAGTGATTGGCCACGCAGATAAGAAAAATTAATTTTCTTTGGTTTTAGCATCATCTTTGGCGTTAAATATTTTAGGCTCCCTGGAAAGAGACTGCCCTTTGATCCAGGATGCCAGCCAGAGAACTGTTCTCAAGTACTGATGGCCAAAACCTATTTGTTTGTGGGGTAAGTGGAGATAATTCAGAAAATTTTGACTCAACTTCGGACAAAATAAAATATCTGATATATCCACTCAAGGAAGAGGTTAAATTTTTTGTGGCAGAGGTTCTGGTGATTCTCCAAGGTATTACCCCTTCAAATATAAGACATAGGTGGGTGTGTGGGTTGATAAGCAATGCCAAGTTTCAAAGACATTAGTAGTGGTACATTTAAAATACATGCCACAAACACACAATGGTAAGTGAAGAAAGTGGGGATGGGGGGAAAGTTAGAAGCTAAGGGCAAAGACGAAACAGAAGTCATGGGCTGTTGAGAGCATTACAGCATGCCACAGTGATTTCTCCCACAAGGCTCCTTAACAGGTCAAGACTGACTTCACTTAAATAGCTGGAAGGAAATTCGCAGAACACTCTGCAATTATCTGACAAGGGCAGAGCTATGAGGTCTTCCATATATATATAAACATACACATAGTTGTTTTCCACACTTCTCTCTTTTAGCTGTCTCATCAATTTTAACACACTTCCCCCGCCTCCAAAATATTATGAGAACTGTTAGTTTATCATGTGTTCCCATTAAAGGAGAAATGATGGGAGTTTTAAAATCCTCAATACAATTCGACCAAACCCATTTTATAATCCCTTTTGATGTTAACCATCAATTCCCTCCTTCAGTTGTAGCATCAACTTCAGTAAGCACCCTGGTCAAGTCATTTCATCACTTCTTTGTGGCTCCCCTCAACAAATTTTCCACTGTAGCTCATTCTCTGAACTCAAATTCCTGAGTGGTCAGACTTTACTACATGTACATGTTGAAGTCTGACCAATAGGAACATGCTGGGGCCACGTGCTCCACCCTGGTACTCGATATATCACAAAAGGGGGTCACTAAGTAAACTCGCAGTAGAAGAATACCAGTTGGGCTTCAAAATGTTAAAATCCTGCTGCCTCTCCCTTCTTTTCCTGTGAACGATATCTGGCCTATACATTTTCTGTTTCTGTCTCCTTTAGTCAAAGAGGTTATTATATCCCTGTCTTGTCAGGAGGTTAGAAAGAATGTGTTTCTAGAGAAAAATATGAGAGTGAGTCAGTAAAAGGTCTTTTGCTTTCTTAATGAGATTTTTTTTCTTTCACTGATTACTATAGGTACTGTGTCACCAACCAAAAAAATTCTCTCTCCTTAGCCAATGATCACGACCCATTCCTCCCTTCTCACAGCACATTCTAACTTGTTCTCAACCAGCCCATCCATTATTGCATTCTCTTGCAGAGAATACCTATTACTTACTGGTTGAATTTCTACATAAATGATGGCATCAGTACTTCACTTTTCAGGAGTAACAAAAAATAGCAACTGGCTTGCTCTGTTTATTCCATTCCTTCACTAATGAGTTTTTAATTTTTAAACGCGTCTACTCACCTGGCTTTGTTATTTATACATCACGTGTACTTAGGAAAAAATGGTACTTGGGCAGTACCACTAACATCAAATTAATCTTGTATACCCTTTTGAATGTTCAAACTACTTTTATCCACTGACCTTAACTATGTAGGAGAAAAAAAATTTTTTCTTATACTTATATTCAATAAGATATTATTTGGGAAAGTTCTGTAGTCTGGTACTCAATTTTATTATGGTCAACTCTACACAAGAGCTGTTGAAATATATGGTATGCCCTATTTCGCATAAGAGAAATCTCATTATTAGGCTGGGCACTTGGTGTTGTTTCTTTCTTTAAAATAAATGATGGGTTAATGATAGGTAAATACATTTTACCCATACTTCTTCTTTTAGAAATTCTAATGACTAACAGCACACATCTACAGGGAAATGTTTCAGCAGTAGGAGAGGGGACTGAGAAAGAGTTGCTAGTAGCCATTCCCAGACAGCAAATAAATTTGCTACCTTAGTCTCATTAGCACTATTCATTAATAAACTAAGCTTCCCAACCCCATTCCCCTGCCCCCACGTCCTATCATCAGTCTTTCTAAGCAAATGCATTTAAAATAAAAAAGCACTATCTTTTCTAATCATAATCTCATATCATCTTTGATTCCCTCCAATCCAGCTTCTGCATTTCCTAAAGCAAAATAAAACTCCTTTAGGTTGACACTGTGGTCAGCAACTCTGATAATGGCTTTCAAAATGGTGTGCTATCACCTGAGGTTGGACTTGAGATGATGTTACCAGGACATCTGGGATCTATGCTAAACTCTGCCAAGTGACTCAGTGCATGACTCAGACAAGTCACAGGCCTTCTGTGCTTTTGCTTCCTCATCTTAAATAAGTAAAGGAAACAAAATATAACAGGGCCAACATGCTCTTATATCCCTCTGTGTGGAAATTCACAAATGCAGTGGGCTTTTTCTTCTCTTTAAGGATTGCACCAGAAACACACCCGATGGCAATATTCTTTCTTTCATCAGGGAGATGATTAACAATTCAAACTCACCTGCTCAAGCTGGCCTCAGGCTACCCAGCAGTCTTCCCAACTGGGCAAAGGGACCCCTTCAGTCAGAATGCTGGGAGCAGAATCCGGGAAGGCACAGCTGGAGCTCAGCTCCACAGTTCTTTTTCCTTTTGTCAACTGCCTGACAGCAGGCAGAGAGGAAAAGGGAGAAAGGCTGGGCTTTCATGATTTCTCTCATGTCTCTAGGCCAAGAAAATGACCAACAGCAGGAAATCATAGCCAAAGTAAACCAGAGTCACATGCCCATGGCTTCTCTCTAAATCCCTGCTTAGAGGCAGGAAAGCAATGAGCTCCTTAGCTTTTTCTCAGCTAATGACTTGTAATTACAAAGGGAGGCTGTGGGAGGAAGGATTTACAACTATTCTTACGGATCTGAGGTATCAGGGGTGGTATATTACCTTTGATGGTCTGGACCCTGGGTAGAGAGGTACCCCTGTTGGAAACATCTCACACAGGATGTGCGAGTTGTCTATTCTAAAACAATTAAAAAAGCAAGAAACTTCTGGAAAAGGGGCATTCAGACAATGCATATTTCATTCTTTTAGTGATGAAGCTAGATTACTACATAGTGAAACTCATGCTCTGAGGACAAACACTAACCAAAAAGTAAAAAGAGCTCCAGTACATGTGAAAGTTATGAGATGATGATGATGACAGGACTTGAGAATGGAGACAAATTTTCCATTAATCTCTTGGAATGAACTAGAATCTCAAAATTCTTTTACTGGGATACCACTGCCCAATACAAGCTCCCACAATGTAAGTACATACCCAGACAGAACAAAACATACGCTTATGAGCACACGTGCGCGCGCGCGCACACACACACACACACACACACACACACCTCCTCCTCCTCCTCTTCCTCCTGGAATTCAGCACACAAAGGGCCCACATGCTGACAAATATACCCAGTTGAAGTATAGATTGATGGCAGGCAAGTAGCAGAGGTTCCCAACAGGGCAGTTACAATCAAAGTATCAACTCACAGACTCTGAGGAGATTTTCTTCAAAAGCTCAGCCCCTGGGGTTCCAACGAGTCTTAAAATGAGCTTCAACTGATCAATATCTAATGGTGGACTATAAAGGAAAATGTTGGGACAAAATAAAAATGAAAAACAAACAATAAACAAAACAAAACAAACAAAATACCCCAATAACAAAAACTAAAAACCCAAAACCAAGCCAAAATGGTGGTTTCATCTAGGTCAAGGCTTCTGCAGGAGGGTCACTTCAAGTTGAACGTGCTCCTCCTGCACAAAGATTCAGAGCACTACCACACACATATCTAACTTATATTCATTTTGTGCATCTGTCAGCATTACCTATTGAGCAAAATGAAGCAACTTTAGCTGGGTATTTAGCTGCCACTGTTAAGCAGAGTGCTACAGATAAGAAAAGGCAGCAGAGCATAGGTGGTAGGGATGTACGAGCCTACATGAGTATTCCCTTAAGGCTTATAAGGAGCATGTGTGATGATCTCAGAGCCTAAACACTTGAGCATGACATCTAGGAAACCTCTCCCTCTGTACTGGCCATACAGTAGGCAAAGGATTGTGGGTGACAGAAGGCCAGCAGAGGGCCCCACTTCCCCACTGCATCTGCAAGTTCTTCAGGAGTACCATAACACAGCAGGACAGAAGAGGGGGCAACCTTATAAATGCACTAAAATTTGTAAGGCTCTAAATGATAGGCCACAACATCCAAACCTTTATCCTGGTAGCCAGCTCTTCCATGTATACGCATAACGTATGTGCACGTATTAACCAGAAGACAAAAACTTTCCATTTGTTTTTACTACTTTCAGCCTTGCCTAAAAAGGAAGTTAAAAGGAGAAATAAAAATCATGTAAAAATAGCTTGTAATTTTCTCAATGGGTATTTGAATAGTTTATCCACTATTCAGGGGGAAAAGGAAGGGAGGATGGCTATCTTCTGATCCCTGTCAAAAATCCTCTCACATTTTTTGCTAATTAGATCCTTTTCAACCTTAGGTCTCAGCTTGAACGTCACTTCCTCAGAGAGGCTTCCTCCAGCACTCAGTATAAAGGTGCCCCCCTTCCCTTTTAGTCTGTATCCTCACAATGCTTGAAAATATCACAGTGTTTATCATAATTACAGGTTCTGTGTCTGCTTACTGCCTGTCATCACTACTGCTGTGTAGCTCTGTGAGGGCCAGGGTCCCTCTG